GCCGGTTCCCAGTAAAAAGCTATTTGTTGGTGAACAGTATTCTGCAGCTGTAGTTGTTCCCAGACAGCGGGGTGTGAAAAGCTGCTGGGTGTCCCCGCTTGTCCCGAGTGGTGGGACACGGAGCAGCCAAGGCCTGAGGTCAAAGGATGGGCAGGCACAGCCAGAACAGGCCTTGAAACCACACCTGAGCCACCAGGCTGTGGTACTCAGCAGCTGCCCCCCATGGGACAGTGAGCTTTGGGCAGAAGGGTAGGGCAGGACCCTGGAGGCCTCAGGGGTGGCCTGCAGAGGCTGGGCCTGCACCATTGCTCTCCATGGAGATGCGATACGGTCATTGCTGCCACCACTGCCCTGGTGTCCCTGCACGGCCTGTGCTTCCTGGGGAAGCTTCCGTGCCACACCTGATTGATGAGGACACCCAGGGGTCACCATCCCCGTACCTCAGCACTTTGACCGACCAGGAGATGCCTGTGTGTTCTTGCTGTCACTTGTTGCCCAAGGCTGGTGAGCAGGGGACCATCAGTGATGTCCTGGCAGGGCAATAAGCAAGGGAGACTCCTGTCCCCCATGCTCTGGGCAGTTTTTATGTGACTTTGCCGATCTGGCAAAAGCTGAGCTCTTGTGAGCTGGTGCGAGCGGTGGCAGAAGTGGATTTGGCTTTTTCTGAAAGCTGCTGGCTCTTCAGGGCTCTGAAGGAGGAGGAGGAGAAGGTCAGATCTCAAATCTCTGGTGCTGGGTGTTTTCATATGAATTTGTTCAAATAACGCGTTTTCAGTTGGTGCTGGTTGTCCCACCCGGCCGTAGCATCTCCCTGTCCCCAGCTGCAGGGGCAAGAGCACCCTCAGCTTCCCAAAAAAGGAAACCGAACAAACCCCCCTTGCAGTTCTGTTTTCTCCCATTAGAGGGCAGCAACAGACCCGACCGAGGCCCAAGAAAGGGGAGATCACCGGGCCGCACACCCCAGGTGCCGGGGGGAGCAGGGGAAGGGCGCCGGTACCCGCTTGGACCCCACTGCTGTGTGTCTCCCAGCGACGTGAGCTCCAATAGTTTATTCTCCATATTTTGTCCTCCTACCCCTTTTTCTTTTTCTCATTTGGCTCTAGATAAATAAAAGCCCAGAGTGAAATTCTCAGGAGGATTTAGAATAGAAATGAGTCTCAAGTGGTCCTTGGGTTACAGGTGGAGAAAAGCAGCTTTAGTGACTGCAGAACAAAACGAGACACACTCATTTATTGTCAAAAAACCTCAAACTTTACTTGTGTTTCTCTCAATAAATAATTTACAGTATATACACGTGGTGACACTCCCGTGGGTCTCAACACAGGGAGGAGGTGGGGAGGGGGCTTCTCGTTACACCCCCCCTTTGCCTACGTATTTCTTTTGTTTCCAAGTATCGGGTCTTTCTTGGCCACACTTCACCTTTAACCAGAACTGGGTCAAACACAACCAAAATAAAGTGCTTCAATGTTTGCTTCTAAAACAGGGATACCCCATCTGCCACACAACAGCCGGCCACCACTGGAGCGCTCACCTGGACAGTGGCACTGAACCACGCCACCATCAAACAGACCTCCTAATAACTCTCCATTTACCCCTAAACCACAGCACATGGTGCCATAGGGTGATCGCTATACAGGCAAGGGAGGTCTTAAGGGATGTACTGACTTGTTGGCACGCTGCAGCTTGGCCAGCTAAGATTGGTTTCAAGAAGCTCTGTGTCTTCAGAGGGATGCTCTGCACAGCCACTGTTTATGGCATAACATAGCAAGGGAAAAAACGTTTCCAGTGACAAATTTTGACTTTCAAACCTTGTGTTTTGAGTTTCTAGGGAGGACAAAAAACTTGTTTCATTTTTTTTTAACAAAGGAAGGAAAAAGTCCAAATGAGCCTGGCTGAGCAATCAGTGCATTGGGAAGCCAAACTGTCCTGTGTCACGGTCCAGTGGTTGCCCCCCTCAGCGCCTCCAACCTGCGATATCCTTATTTCAACATCTCCCTAACCACAATACCTGGGGCACCAGCAAACAAAGCAAGGAGCAAAGTAGTAAACACATCTTTGTTTCTTTTCTTTCCTTAAACATTTAAAAACCAATTACAACTCTTCATCTGTACAGTCACACAAGATCAATGCCAGGGCTCTATATATTAAAGAGACAATATAAATTACATCCATTGACACAATTTTGCATTTCTCTGCTGCTTTACAAATGGAGCTCTAGAGCTGTTAGGACACAATGAATAGTCACGCTGAGTATTTACACCAGGCTGCCTCTTGGCACCAGTTCAGGCTGCCAGAATCGCCCGTTCCCACCTCTTTTGGTGCTAGCTTGTCTCATCTTGCCCAGAGACCTCCCTCGAGAGCAGGAGGTGCCCCCAAGAGTGACGCTGTTTTGGGGCTGGTTTCTGGGAACTTCCCCCTGAGGAAAGGAGGGGAAACCCATCAAGAGGTCTCCAAGACGCAGACCAAAGGTGGTCTTGCTCTTTGTTCAGTGAGCGATGAGGTGAACCACGGAGGAAGGAGGAGATGGGCAGCACTATGTGGTGGGGGAAGGAGATATTGACGGTTTCAAGGCAGGGAACAGACATTTGGGGGCGGTGGGGGGGGGGGGGC